ATTATTTTGAACACAATGGGATTTGTAAGGGTTGGTAAAAATAAGTGAAGGAAACCCTTCCTTTTCACCTATTTGTTGTGATAGTAATGGATCTATTTTGCTGTGCACTCAAGTCCCACACTTGTCATTGAAGTTCTCTCTGAACTACTTTTCAATTTCTTTTCTTCTTAGGGCACACACATTCACACACATCCTGAAGAATTTTTACTAGTTCATCTAGCAATGTTTTACTACCAATTCTCTAGTCCACAAGTAATTGTATCATCTACATAGGACAAGATTATTACATTAGGCCACTGATTTCTCTGACAGGTCCCTGTGTCAACAGTCAGCACTGCAGGAAACACGTGTGCAACTTGGCTCATGCTGCAGGTGCCATGCTGTGCTGGTGGTGGACTGATGGGTAGCACACACCCTGCTCTGGGCTTCTCACTCCTGTCCCAAGGGACTTGCCAGGTTTGCCTATTGCATGAAGACTTTGGCACTGCCCTCCTCTCCTCAGCTGGCTCCTTACCAAACTTTTCTTTCCTGTACCTTTCATTTTGAGTTCTGGCATAGACCAATCTTATCGTTCAAATATATTGGTATTCTGGGACCTTAAATCATCACTACTTGATACTTCTTTTCTTATGATACTGTTTCAAGTATACTGCAATATTTGGCCACATTTTATATGTTGAGATCTCTCTTTGAAGGTCTCATTCTGCACTTTACAGACGTGGACCACATTGTCCTGCATAGCATCTTGAACCTCTACAAGGACTTATGAACTAGTCAGAAACATAAAGGTATGTGCATGTGGATTCACTTGACAAAAGAAACCAAAATATTCGTACAATCTATCATTACCCTGGCTTATAAGACATTTCAATATCAACCTCAATTGAGGACAATGACTATACACTATTGAGGACTTTAGGCTTAAACAAGAATGGTAACTTTTCTGCACGAGGGCCAAAAACCCATTTTCCAGAATATCTTCCCTGGCCCTGGAGTTCTTTCTACTCAGGGCCCGGGTACTGTCCCTGAGCTTTGGTAATAAAGGAACAAAAGTGTTGACAGTCTATCAACTTCATTCACAGCATTACTTGTGGGAAATTTGGTGATAATTGGCCATAACACTTTTACAGCTATTCCTACCTAGTTTGCCTTTCAATTGTGATCTTTAAACCTCATGCACTTGAGCAAGTAAGAATCCCGATGTGAAGCACCAGTGCCCTGTTAGATCAGGAGATCTTAATTACTTGATCCAAACAGGACTCATGGTGTCCACATAACAGGATATATAATTCATAACATCATATAGCCATATGCAAAAGTCCTTTTGCAATCACTTGGTAAAGGTCTGTTTACCTATCATTGGGTAATCCACACCCAAATTCTTCCACTAAATATTTGGAAGAATGTATTGGTTACACGTACCTCATTATTGGTCCTCAGGTTGTATTCAGGGGCAAAAACTTGTGAGGCTTCCTTTACCTTCTATAGAAGATGACCATTTGTATCACTGATTTTTCACCTTAGGGTCTTGCTTCTCTGCCTGGACCTTTCCATACATTAATTTTATAATTACATATCAGAAGTAGTAAAAAGGTAGGTACATATAACCAGAGCCATGCTTTTATTGGCTAAGATACCATTTTCATGGAGCTTTTGCATGGGATGGCCTACAAAACTATCTAATTTCAGCTTCCTGAGTAGTTAGGATTCCACACATGAGGGAGTGTAATTGCTCATTTTTAATTGCTGGTCTGAAATTAAAAGAGGAAAGGGTACATTACGAATTCAGTGAGCATGAACTCCCTTTAATTCTGAATTCAAGCAAAGTGTTGGCCAAATGATAATAACAAAAATAATACAAAACATTAATAAAATATGTTATCATCAGGCATACTTTTAATGAATGTGGTATGTTGGTTCATAATTTGAGGTATATAACAGGCCTAGGTAGGACTCCAGTCTGTGAACCATCCCTTCTCAGAAAGCATACAGTTTGTAAACATGGGAGAATGAGCGATTTCCAAATGGATAGAGTGTGTGTGTGTGTGTGGTACAAATAGGAAGGCCAAGGGCACAGGTGCCTCCGAATGCCATTTTTTTTATTAGGCCTCTGTAGATAAGCAGAAGGGTTTGCCTGGGAAGGTGGCTCAGTGTCAGAGAACTTGCCATGCATGCATGAGGTCCTGGGTTCAATTCCCCAGCACCACATAAGCAAAAAAAAAAAAAAACCTGGTATTGGCACTGTGGGTCAAGTGGTAGTGTGCAAGCCTTGAGCTGAAGAGCTGAGGGACAGCACCTAGGCGCAGAGTTCAGGCCACAAGACCGGATCCCCCACCCCAAAAAAGTAGAAGGGTGAACAGTGTGATGGAAGGGGTTAAGTGAGCACCTAGCTAAATCTTGCAATGTGAAGTCCACTGTCCTTATCTTGTAAATGGAATCATAGGCAAGATTTAAAGATTCCTTTTTTTATTGTGAAAATACTGTAAAGAAGAGTTATTATTTTTGAACAATTGAAATAAATACTGAAATTGTTGAAGCCACAGGAAGCTTGAGCTGAAGCACTGAAGGAAACCTCCTGTTCCCAGAGAGAGATTTCTTCAGAACAGCCCACAGGGCTCATGCTTTGATTCCTAGCTTTTATGGAGGCCAAGATGAGAGAGTCTCCATTGAAGCCAGCTCTGGCTGGCTTCAACTCAGTTCCTGAGTTGAAAATCTCATATTGGCACAAAAACATTCCTTCATGAATGTGTGAAAGTATTCCTCTTCATGTAACCAAACAGCTCTAGACATATCTAGAATGATTGGCTTATATTGGAACTGGAGTCTTGGTCTTGGTTTATTAATTAAGCTCTTTCTGATGTAACAGAAACTTTTTCTAAATGCCTCCAGGATATCTTTAATTACATAACTATACAGTGTCATCGATCTTGGCTCTAGAAATTCTAAATTTAGGTCAACCTTTCTGTTTCTGTAAAAGAAGACACTATATTTGTTGGAAGCCACATTATGGAAGATGGAATACTGGAGTCTATTTCACAACTAGCAGTCTGCAAGCGGCCTGTTCTAACAAAGACATGCAGTCCATAAATACACTTAGACAGCTTGGAAATAGGACAGAAAGGAGGGGGGGAGGAGAGAATAAAAACAGCACCGAGAAACCAATCAGCACCAAGAAAGTGATGTACTGGATGACCAGAGACAAGCCAGGAGAAAGCACACAGGACATGATTACAGAGACATGTGGCATGCCATCTGGTGCCACTGCTGGTCCGGCCTAAATAGGGCCTAAGCAGGAGGCAGGTCTACAGGAAATTCCCAGTCCAGGCACTGGACTATCAGATTGAGTAACATCAGCCAAATGCCCATGCCTGCTTGCAGGGATCCAGCCATACCCATCAGTTGGGAGGTAAGCAATGGATGGGGCATTTCCTTCCCCCTGCATGAAAACAAGATGCCAGACCCCACCATCTACCATGTGGCCAATAGGGCACCAGCCACACATGACCTCCTTACTTAATATTACTGTATTATTAAATCAGTTTATAAAATGTTACATCCTCTTTATCATTTTGTAAATATTCAAAAAGTTGCTTTTTGTAAAAGCCATATTTCTTGAGCTCCACCTCTGAAACAATAATTCTCACATTCACCAAAAATTAAAGTCTTCTTTTGAATAGTTTATTTCTTCCTTCGCCTCATTCCTTCCCTTCCTCTTTCCATCTCTCACTTCCCTACTCCTTCCTTCCTTCCTCTCAGGGTCTAGAAGTGATGCTGTAGCTCAAGTGGCAGATGGTTTTATTCCTTTGTTAACTTCAATTTTTGTGAGAGATTGATCAATATCTTTGTGTGCTTGATTATTTCCCCTAATGTCATATCTACTTTGGCCCTCTATGAGATAACACAGGTGCGACACATCGTCCACACTGGTCTTTTATTATAGCTCACTCAGCAGAACAACTAAATGGGCTAAGAGTGAATCAATCACAAGTTTTTCATCAACAGTGATTAATTAAAGAAAAGTGCAAGCACTGAAGACACTTTGGGGTTCTCCCCCAAGACAAAATGCAGGGCTGCGAAGGTGGCTCAGTGGTAGAGCGCTTGCCTTGCATGCTCGAGGCCCTGGGTTCAATTCCTCAGCACCACATAAGCAAAAAGAAAAAAAAAAGCCGGAAGTGGTGCTGTGGCTCAAGTGGTAGAGCACTAGCCTTGAGCTGAAGAGCTGAGGGACAGCAGCCAGGCCCAGAGTTCAGGCCCCACGACCAGACCCCCCACCCCCACAAAAAAAGAAGACAAAATGCAGAGATTCTAGTCTTTATTAATCCATAATATTTTTTAAATATATATTTTATTGTAAAGATACTGTATAGATTGGTTATACCATTATATGAGTTAGGTCATTAATACACTTTCTATCTAGCATTGTTACCCCTCCAAGAAAGACTTTACTACCGTTATGACTTTTTCTAGAAAACCTTTCCATTTTTTTTACATATGATTTTTCTCCTCTTTGTGTGTGAGGGTGTATGGGTGTCTGTGTGTTTTGTGTGTTCTGTGATGAACCCTTAGCTGTGTCTTGTAGTTCGAGGACTCCACATCTGCTATATCATAAGGTCTCTATCCTGTATTGGTTCTGTATTGCAATTTCAATATTCTTACAGACCAAAGACTTTCCCATTTGGTACAATCCTAAGTTATTTCATTTGTGTGAATCAACTTATGTGTGTTAAGCTGTCTTTCCACATTGGTCACATTCATAAGGTTTCTCTCCTTGTGTCTGTGATGGATGTTAAGTTGTGCCTTCCAGGTGAAAGAATTTCCATGCTTGCTACATACATAACATTTCTCTCTGGTTGGTTTTTTTCTGATGGACAGAAAGGTGTATGTTCTGCATGAAAGATTTTCCACATAGGTCACATTCATAAAATTTCTCTCCTGTGCGTGCTCTCTGGTGGATAGTAAGTTGTAGCTTCTGGCTGAAAATCTTTCCGCAAATATGACATTCATAAGGTTTCTTTCCTGTGTGTTTTCTGATGGACAGTGAGGTTGGACTTCCAGGTGAAACTCATTCCACACATATTATATTCATAAGGTTTCTTTCCTGTGTGTACTATCTGATGGACATTGATGCTTGACTTCCAAGACAAGGACTTTCCACACATGTTACATTCATAAGGTTTCTCTCCTGTGTGTGTTCTCTGGTGCAGAGTAAGATATGTCTTGCAGGAGAAAGACTTTCCACAAATGTTACATTTAAAAGGTTTCTCTCTAGTATGTGTTCTCTGATGGAGATTAAGATTTGACTTCTTGGTGAAAGATTTTCCACACATCTTACATTCATAAGGTTTCTCTCCTGTGTGTGTTCTCTGGTGCAGAGTAAGATATGTCTTGCAGGAGAAAGACTTTCCACAAATATTACATTCAAAAGGTTTCTCTTTTGTGTGTGTTCTCTGGTGGCGAGTTAGGTTTGATTTCTCGGTGAAAGACTTTCGACACACGTTACATTCATAAGGTTTCTCTCTATTATGTGTTCTTTGGTGGTTAGTAAGCATCGATTTCTGGGTGAAAGACTTTCCAAACTTGTTACATTCATAAGGTTTCTCTCCTGTGTGTGTTCTCTGGTGGAGAGTAAGATATGCCTTCCAGGAGAAAGACTTTCCACAAATGTTACATTCAAAAGGTTTCTCTTTTGTGTGTGTTCTCTGGTGGACAGTAAGGTATGTCTTCCAGGTGAAAGACTTTCCACACATGTTACATTCATAAGGTTTCTCTCCTGTGTGTGTTCTCTGGTGTCTAGTAAGATATGCCTTCCAGAAGAAAGACTTTCCACACATGTTACATTCATCAGCTTTCTCTCCTGTGTGTGTTCTTTGGTGTCTAGTAAGATGTGCCTTCCAGGAGAAAGACTTTCCACAAATGTTACATTCAAAGGGTTTCTCTTTTGTGTGTGTTCTCTGGTGTCTAGTAAGATATGCCTTCCAGGAGAAAGACTTTCCACAAATGTTACATTCAAAGGGTTTCTCTTTTGTGTGTGTTCTCTGGTGGACAGTAAGCTTTGATTTCTGGATGAAAGACTTTCCACAAACATTACATTCATAAGGTTTCTCTCTAGTATGTGTTCTCTGGTGGACAGTAAGCTTTGATTTTTCGGTGAAAGACTTTCCACACTTGTTACATTCATAAGGTTTCTCTCCTGTGTGTGTTCTCTCGTGTCTAGTAACATATGCCTTGCATATGAAAGATTTTCCACAAATGTTACATTGAAAAGGTTTCCCTTTTGTGTGTGTTCTCTGGTGGACAGTAAGCTTTGATTTCTGGGTGAAAGACTTATGACACATGTTACATTCATAAGATTTCTCTCCTGTGTGTTTTCTCTGAGGGACAACAGGGTGTTTCTTCTCAGTGAAAGACTTTTCACACTGTTTACATTCGTCAACTACAGAAGACACATGAGTACTATATGCAGCACACATCTTACCAGGTTCACTGAAAATACCCATGCTCTGACAGCCAGTGACCTTTTCTATCCTCATCTCTAAGGAGTTGCCATTATTCTTAATCAGTTCTGACTTCTGTATGGAGCTCAAATGAAAACTTCTTATAAGTCTCACTTTTTCCTCCCCTGGGTTACTATTCATGATTGCTACTTCAGAGAGATATTTATTGTGACGTTTCTGGCAGGTGCTAATCACATCCTCCATTTCTGGGACATCTAAAATGAATAATAGAAAAATAAACAAAAACATAAATGAGATCCATAAATTCCTTAATGTAAAGATATTTCCTCACATTCTGTTACAATATTTTCAAATATCAAAGCATTGCTTTATGCAGAATATATATATTTCTCTGCAATGTAGTAATTAAGAAAGTAGTACTGACATTTTACAATGGAAAATGTTTTTCTTTATTTCAGATTTTTGTATTTTTCTCAAGGAAATATTTACTCAAATTATTCATCTCCATACTCTTAATGCTTCCATTCTGAATCTCCCTCTGTGCCCAGCACCACTGATAAGAAATTGTCCTGATCCTATTTTCCTCCTACCTGCAAAATACTAGTTTAAAATGAGATCTCCTTCCTACATTTCTTATTGTCTTTTTCTCTTTATGAATGACTTCTCTACAGACAAAGAGAAGTGCTAACATTAACTACACTGGAACATCAAATTCAGTTTGTCTCCACGAGAATTCTGGATTGACATTTCCTTGAGACAAAGGATCACCTAGTTCTCTTCCATACATGACTGAAGGGCACTATGAAACTATTGCTCTGTACAGCTCAAGATAAACAGACCCACTGGGCTCTGGACCCAACATCACTATTCAAGATGCTTTAACTCACCTGTGAAATTCTCTTCTGAGCCTTCTCTCATCCATGGTTCTGCACCTTGCTCCAGCTTCACAATCAATATAGGTTTAGGAACACAGTGCCCTGTGAGTAAGAAATAGTGGAGTACTATTGCTCTTGCTGTGTCATCATTAATGTAATGTTGCAGACATCCTGTTCACTGGGTTGCTCCTAAATCTGGTTTCTCAATTGTTTTATTTTTTGGGGGGTGGGATCGGTTTTGGGGCTTGAACTATGAGCCTGGGCGCTGTATCATACCTCCTAAGCTCAAGGCTAGCACTCTACCACTTGAGCCACAATGCCAATTCTGGCTTTTTTTTCTGCTTTTATGGTGCTGAGGAATCGAACACAGGGCCGCAAGCATGCAAGGCACAGGCTGACCACTGAGCCACCTTCCCAGTCCATGGTTTCTCAATTCTTAACAGCTCCATGGTGTACTTTCCCCCAGCTTTGGGTTTATTTTCCCAATGTGTGGCTTGGACTCAGCTCTTTTGCTCAAATCTAGCATTCTACTAGTTTGTGTCTTGGCTACATTTTCTAGTTTTTGAATGGTTAATTGGAGATAAGAGTCTCATGTTCATTTTTCTATAGTTGCTGGCTTTAAACCAAAATCCTCAGATTTCAGCCTACAGAGTATCTAGGATTCCAAGCTTGAAGCAATGCAACCTATGTCAGGTTTGGCTTACAAATACACACTTTCACACTTTCACCTACTGATTTCCAGATCATACTGACAGTAGTAATGTATATTCTATCTAGAGTGTAGATCCACCTATAATAATCACCTCAAGTCTGGAAAGTCAGTCTCCTATTAGTGGATCATAGTTTAGAACTTTTGTCCAACTACTGATTAGAAATCTTAAAGACTGAGAATAAAATTAGCTCATGAGTTACACATAATGAAGTTGAAGTTTCCCTTAGGAAGAAATGACACTTCCCATGGACTGGAATTTTTTTTTAAAAAACAAAATGTAATGGTCCAAAGGGTTACATTTCTAACCCTACATTTAGGAGGTAAGATCAGAAGAGGCAGGCTTGAAACCAACCTCGGCATGGAAATTCAGAATATACCCCAAAACAAAAGCCAAAATAGAGTTGTGGCTCAAGCAGTAGTGTGAAAGGCAAACAACATCAAGCTCCCAGACCTGAATTTGGCTGGCTTTTATACTAGCAGTTTTTTTTTTTTTTTAACAAGGGAATGGACTGGAATCTTATACCTAAATAACATAGTCAAATGTCTACTAAAATAAAAGCACTTGATCTTCCAAATAAAAGTGACCTTTGCTCACCCAAGGACATTAGGTTGTTATAAGTTTCCAGCATTACTTCTCTATGAAGGGTCCTCTGACCAGGATCCAGATCCTGCCATTCCTTCCAGGTAAAGTACACAGCCACATCATCAAATGACATCAGCTTCTGTAATGGCACATTTCCATCAAGAAATTAGACCTGGGTCATGAGAATTCCAATCTGGAATTTCATTATGCTGCAGGTATGCTTTTGTCTTACATAAAATGTTTGCAGCTGGCTATGTTATCTTTTCACTGGGAAAATTAAATAGCAAATTAGAAATATTTGACAATACATAAACCTGGCAACTAAAATACACAGATTTTCAGAGAACTGGTGGCTTATGCCTGTAATCCTAGCTATTGAGGAGGCTGAGGTCTGAGGATCAAGGTTCATGGCCAGCCCAGGCAGAAAAGTCCATGAGACACTTATCTCCAATAAACCACCAGAAAACTGAAAGTAGCACTGTGACTCAAGTGGTAGAGCACTCACCTTGACCTGAAGAGCTGATGGACAATAACCAGGCCAAGAATTCAGGCTCCAAGACCAATAAAAAGTTACAGATTCCCTAATGCATGCAAACACATTTCTGCTGCTAGCAATAGAGACAAGATAAAAATTCTAAGGAGTGCCGGGCGCTGGTGGCTCACGCCTGTAATCCTACCTACTCAGGAGGCTGAGATCTGAGGATCGCGGTTCAAAGCCAGCCCGGGCAGGAAAGACCGTGAGACTCCTATCTCCAATAAACCACCAGAAAACCGGAAGTGGCGCTGTAGCTCAAGTGGTAGAGCGCTTGCCTTGAGCTGAAGAGCTGAGGGACAGCGCCCAGGCCCAGAGTTCAAGCCCCACAACCGACAAAAAAAAAAAAAAAAAAAATTCTAAGGAGACAATAATCTGGCATGATGACATTAAGTCTAAGGTGGTGTCCAAAAAATTATATTATTATTTTTGATAAAATTTTAGTATATATCAGTAGGTAACAAAGAATTAAACAAATATTTTCTATGCATTTACATTTATTGCTTCACCATAAATCCTATTTAGACCTTCTATTAACAAGTACTCTCATAAGCAAGCAGAACACATTCAGGACATCACATGGTATACAGAGCATAGAACATTACTAGATCAAAGAAAAGCAGTGTCCACATGAATGTTAAAAAATAGTAACAGTACTCCAGAAAGTAGCTAATGATTTATTGGGCCCTTATAAGATTTGATTTAGTTCCCACATAAAAATATCCTAGGTTAACCATGTTTGGTTTAAATACTAAATATTGAAATGTGGTCTTAGATACCCTGATATTTCCTTCCTATGTAAAAAAGAACTGCTACCATGATGTTTTGTAAACTTTGCCTACATTCTACAACACAAAATATAGGTGGGAGGGGAATAAAATATTCCTTGAGAAGATTTTCATTTTAATAGGCCTTCATGGAAGGTGGAGGCAAATAGATAGAGACTCAAAGAACACTCAAGATGACAAAAATGATAAATATGACCAAATGCTCAAATGTGTTAAATATTCCTGAGTCATTTCTCCAGTAGATCCCTAAAGATATATTTCCACTTTTGTTAGTTAATAGTGAAATTCTTCAGAGATCAAAATCAATTCCTAGCAAATATCTGTGAGATTTTACAACAAATGATATTTCTAATAGAGAAAAACTCATCACTGTATTATTTTTTTTTTATCAAAACTACCTATCTTATACTGGCAGTGAATGAAAATATTTAAAAGTAGTGGGATGGAAAAACAAAACTGAATACCACTACAAATGAAGTTAGACCAAAGATAACAGAATCAGGTGAAATCAAATTTTCTTGTAGTTTATCAGTTGGAGGAAAGACGTACTTTTCTGTATGGAACTCTGAAGTTGAGCTGAAGGGGAAAAAGTTTTGAGAGGTTGGAATTCCAGCCTGACAGCACTGAGAGAACTGAGAGCTGGCCGCAGAAGGCGTAAAAGAGAATTCTGGAGATGGTTAAGATATTGGAGTTCAGGCCTTTTCCTTACTGTTGGAAAGATAGCATCTGAAACTGAGCTGCTGTTCACCTTGAAGGCTAGGTAAGGTGAACTTCATGTCTGCATTTTCTCTGGGCGCCAGTCTTCTGTCTCAGGAGAATAAGGAAACATGTTTTCTTCACAACGTGTTGTGGCTCAGATTGTAATAATAATATAGATACTTCAGTTTTGCATGTTATCAATGGTAATCTTCCCTGTGTGAACTCAAGGAACTTCGCTTGCTTGCTGGCAACCAGAGACCAAGTGCCACAGAGGCTTCAGAACCCTGGTTTCCCCTAAGTCTATCTGTTTATGTTTTTGTGTTTCTCTAATTTTCTTTGTTTCTGGAATCCTGTAGAACTCTCTAGGCAACAATTTTCCTATACAGTGTGTAAGAAAAATGTCAATCTTAAGAGCCATGTCAGCAACATAAAGCTGATCACTAAGAAAAACTAGTTCCCAGATAGATCATTGAAGAAAAGAAAAAACTGAGAGACATATGGAGGAAAGAGAGAATGAGAAAAGTAAGAAAAAATGATTCAAAGATAGATACAAAGAGAGAGAAAGAGAAAAATAACCAACACAAGTGAGTAGAAAACCAAAAGTAGAGAGAGATTATAGAGGAAAGAAATCTTGTGAAGATACTTTAGAAAACAAGCAAGATTTTGAAAATAGAACATAAACTTTAGCAACAAATATAGCCTCAGCTTCAAGTAAGACCAAGACCATGAAGTAGTCCAAGAAGTATATATGGAGAGTAATTTAAGTACATATAGGTTAATCATTCCTTAAGAACACACGAAGGTGCGTATGACCACACTATTTCAGCAATTCCAGGAAAATTTCATTGAGATAGTTTAATGTTACTCATGAGAATGAGATCTGGTT